TGTTTGAGCATGAAAAAGCTCTGTAAAGTTCCAGTTCTTCTCTATATCAGTGTCAGTGTTTCTGAACTCCTGAAACGCCTCCATTGTAGTCTTGAGTTTCTTCCGGGAACACGTCACAATATTCCTCATTATAATAATTCATACGCAGAATAAAGGGGCGGGGCCTGGTGGAGTTAGTTAGTAGTGTGTTAAACTGGCGGTTATGGGAAGGGGCGGGACATTTCCCAAACACACTCGAAGCGCTCGACCAATCACAACACACTGCTCCAGCCGACCAATCAGAGCACAGTGTGCTTTTCAGAAGGCGGGGCTTCATAGAGACAGGAAGTAAACAGAGCGTTACTGACAGACTGGGAAGAGAGGAGCCGCAACAATGGAGAATATGAGGAGAATAATCAACATTCAAGCAGGAAAACCTGTTCTAGTAGAGTCAACATCAAGACTTTGAAAAAGGGCGTAATATGGGCTCTTTAATGCTTTATTATCTGCAGTTTGGAACTTCTGCACAGTTTATGTTTTGAGCTTCTGTTAAAAAAAGTTTTTAATTGGTTCAACATTAAATGATCTCAGTTTGACCTTCACTGATGTTTTTGCAGCTGAAAGACAAGGAGCGACAGATCATCAAGGACAAGTTCAAGGTGAGAGAGATTCATGCATCTTCTTTAGTCCTCCTGAATCATATTTGATCCATTCATTTCTAAGGCCTCTGAATGATGAAACCTTTGCTAATAAACCTATCGCACTCAATCTCCTACACTAGGAATAGTTTAGACTGTTTTAGCAAGTAAAAGTCTTTTAGTATTACTGTACAAACCTCCATCAGCTCGAGCTTCACGTGTCTCTGCTGTCAAATCTGCCGATTTATATAAAATAACTTTGATATTGTTAGTAATATTTCAAGATGAACACTTACTGGACTGAGGCAGCTTTACTTGATTATCCAAACATCATTTTATAGAAAAATCACGAGTATCAAATATGATCATCAGGCTTTTGAGGAAGGTTTATTAGTTCATCTCTCAATCATCACTGTATTGCATTGAATCATGTGTTTTAAAACTACAGAGCTTTGATCATAAAACTAAGCATTTAAATATCATCTTACTAAGGCATATTATTGGCAGATATTGATATTTATATGCATTTATGTATCTGCTATACTCTTATAAAGATCTCACTGATTGACATTACAGGCATCAGAAGTTCATCTTATGTTTTGACCATATAAATATCAGCATCTGCACCAAATTGCATAATTTTGCTCAGTTTAAGTCTCTGATTAAAACTAAGGTGTTTTCTCCTCCATATTCAGACTATATGAGCCATAAAGCCTGATGCATCAAATATGATACTCGACAAAAAACACATATGCAGTCTTTTATAAGGTTCAATAAAGCTATGATTATTTGATATGTCAGTGTGTACAGGGATGAAGGTTTGTGTTGTGTGTGTGTGTGTGTGTGTGTGTTTGCAGGGTTTTAACGAAGGTCTGGAGGAACTGTGTAAGATCCAGAAGGGCTGGGCGGTTCCGGATAAAGAACAGCGTGACGCCATCAGACAGGCTCAGAAGAGAGTGGTTTCAGACGCTTATAAAGCCTTCCTTCAGCGGTGTGTGTGTGTGTGTGTGTGTGTGTGTGTGTGTGTGTGTGTGTGATGCATCACCCCATACCTCATGTGTCCTATACACGTGTTTGTTCATATGCTAATCTTTGTTTTTACAGATGTGCAAACATTTTATTCACCAAAAATCCAGAGAAATATCTCCGCTACGCGCCGGAGCAGGTGGAAGAAATGATTGACAAGCTCTTTGACACTTCGGCCTAGGCCACGCCCCCTCCTTCACCATAGCAACGGAGTCTCTGGTTTCCCCTGGAGACGAACATGCACTTCCCCTCCGCTTCATCACACACTACTCCACTGCAGCGTCACTGTTCGCTTTCGCTTGTTTTGTTTCTTTGTATAAATGTATTTATGTAAAAATGTTTTTTGGGGATTTAACTGCAATAAATAAATAGAATTCACTCCTGAAAACTCTGCTTCAGGTTTCTTCAGTTCAATATCTTGCTTGGTTTTCAAGTGCTGCATTTATGATATACGAATTTGTTTAAAAATGTGTTTTTATTATTATTTTCAATATTAATAATTATATATATATATACACTCACCGGCCACTTTATTATATACCCCATGCTAGTAACGGGTTGGACCCCCTTTTGCCTTCAGAACTGCCTCAATTCTTCGTGGCATAGATTCAACAAGGTGCTGGAAGCATTCCTCAGGGAGTTTGGTCCATATTGACATGATGGCATCACACAGTTGCCGCAGATTTGTCGGCTGCACATCCATGATGCGAATCTCCCGTTCCACCACATCCCAAAGATGCTCTATTGGGTTGAGATCTGGTGACTGTGGAGGCCATTTTAGTACAGTGAACTCATTGTCATGTTCAAGAAACCAATTTGAAATGATTAGAGCTTTGTGACATGGTGGAAGTAGCCATCAGAGGATGGGTACATGGTGGCCATAAAGGGATGGACATGGTCAGAAACAATGCTCAGGTAGGCCGTGGCATTTAAACGATGCCCAATTGGCACTAAGGGGCCTAAAGTGTGCCAGGAAAACATCCCCCACACCATTACACCACCACCACCAGCCTGCACAGTGGTAACAAGGCATGATGGTTCCATGTTCTCATTCTGTTTACGCCAAATTCTGACTCTAACATCTGAATGTCTCAACAGAAATCGAGACTCATCAGACCAGGCAACATTTTTCCAGTCTTCAACTGTTCAATTTTGGTGAGCTCTTGCAAATTGTAGCCTCTTTTTCCTATTTGTAGTGGAGATGAGTGGTACCCGGTGGGGTCTTCTGCTGTTGTAGCCCATCCGCCTCAAGGTTGTGCGTGTTGTGGCTTCACAAATGCTTTGCTGCATACCTCGGTTGTAACGAGTGGTTATTTCAGTCACTGTTGCCCTTCTATCAGCTCGAACCAGTCTGGCCATTCTCCTCTGACCTCTGGCATCAACAAGGCATTTCCGCCCACAGAACTGCCGCTCACTGGATGTTTTTTCTTTTTCGGACCATTCTCTGTAAACCCTAGAAATGGTTGTGCGTGAAAATCCCAGTAGATTAGCAGTTTCTGAAATACTCAGACCAGCCCTTCTGGCACCAACAATCATGCCACGTTCAAAGTCACTCAAATCACCTTTCTTCCCCATACTGATGCTCGGTTTGAACTGCAGGAGATTGTCTTGACCATGTCTACATGCCTAAATGCACTGAGTTGCCGCCATGTGATTGGCTGCTTAGAAATTAAGTGTTAACGAGCAGTTGGACAGGTGTACCTAATAAAGTGGCCGGTGAGTGTATATATATATATATATTATTTTGTTTTTATTAAAAAACATATTACACAGTCTAAATGTCTGCATAGGTTTTGGCCTCCGTTTATAACATTCCAGTGTGTTTTTGTGTAGAATTATCTTCACCTCTTATCATGGTGTTTGGTGTCATTCACAGTCGGTTCTCTTTAAGTTCACACTGTAGAAAACAATATTCCATAACTGCCAATATTTTTTGTCGTTGTGTAGTTTGACCTGCATCTTGTTTGTCCAGAGTCCGTCAGAGGTGATGAACATCCGCTCAGTCATTCGGGTGTGGAGCTGTGTTCACCCATCACCTTTTCAGAAGCTTTAATCACTGACCTAGAGTCAGCTCCCAGTCTGTGAACGGTACGAGTCAAACACACTGAATCATAACTGTACATTCCCCAACATGATGAGCTATCGACCAACACCTACAGGAATTACTCACTGAATATTCTTCATCACAAAGGAAACTAATGCATCAGGGAATGCATGTGAATGAGGCACGAAGAGAGTGTGTGTGTGTGTGTGTGTGTGTGTGTGTGTGTGTGTGTGTGTGTGTGTGTGTGTGTGTGTGTGTGTGTGTGTGTGTGTGCACAGATGTTTCTGGATGTGGAAGCGTGAAACTGATTCCACTGTGTGTGTGTCCACTTGTGTCCCAGCGGATGAGTGTCAGGGTTTTGGAGGAGAACGGCTCTGGTTACTGGGAAAAACACCCACCATTGTCTTATATTCGCATTTTGTGTCAGAGTTTAACTGGAACACTTTATTCAATTCATTTTTTTATCGAGTCGTATCACATCAGGCTTATGAGAATATGAGAATAAACAGCTCAATTTTATTCAGAGGTCCAAAAATATGCAGTTCGTTGCATATGCTGATATTTATACGGCCAAAAAGTAAGATGAAAACAATGAGATCTGTATAACAATACAGCAAATGCATAAATAGCAATGTCTACCAATATTACATCTTAGTAAGATGATATTTAAATGCTCAGTTTTATGATCAAAGCTCTTTTAAAACATATGATTCAATACAATGATGATTGAGAGATGAACTAATAAACATTCCTCAAAAGCCTGATGATCATATTTGAAACTCGTGACTTTTTTCATGAAATGATGTTTGATTAATCAAGTCCAGTAAGTGTTCATCTTGAAATATTACTAACAATATCAATGTTATTCTTATGTTTACTTTATAAAAATCATTTCACATGAAGAAGACACGTGAAGCACAACATTTGTACAATTAAACTAAAAGACTTTTACTTGCTAAAACAGTCTCTCAGAGACAGTATATTGTGTGTGTTCAGATTTATCAAAAAAGTTGTGATTATTTTAGAGGCCTTAGAAATGTTGTGTATTAATAAGAATAAGTTGAATTTATAAGCCAGTTCAGATCATGTTTGATAAAAGAAAGAAAGCAAAAGCAGTTTGAATCACCATTGATAATTTCAGTTGTGTGTTTGACAAACTCCCACACACACACACTCCTGTTCCTGCAGCCAATCAGAGCAAACGCTCCTCATATAGGGTGTGTTAAATCCGCCAGAAGATCTGATACACACACTCCAGTCCTGCTGATCTGATACACACACACTCCAGTCCTGCTGATCTGATACACACACTCCAGTCCTGCTGATCTGACACACACACTCCTGCTGATCTGACACACCGGTGAGTTGAGATATGCTGATACACAAGCTCATGCATGACATTAAACTGCTCTGAAAATAATCCAGATGCACAATATTAATAGTGACGAGATGATCTGTGCACTGCACACTCTGCAAATGATGCTGAAGATATCAAGTCAATAATATATGTCAATAATATAACATCATATATGCTTCATATAAAATTGTTTTTAACAAGTTTCCAAATGATTTCAGTATTAGCCTACATGCTGTTTTTAATGAACCACGAGAAGCAACACAGAACATTTATACCGAAATGTACTTGTCATTCTGCCGGATTTATTTAGTTTAATATTTCAGTTTATTATTTAGATGTGTTGCACAGTTTCAGATCATTTACTCTTTTTTTACTGTTATTTTTTAATTCATGCTACTGTTTATTTTATTGTATTATTTTTGACATGTTGTATTATGCTAGTTCCAGATCATTTGCTCTGGGAAGATTTTTATTTTATTTATTTTATTTTATTATTTTATTTTATTTATGTTATTTTTTTATTTTTTTATTTTATTTTATTTGGATATGTTGCATTATGTTGATCGTTTCAGATCATTTGCTCTGGGAAGATGTGTATTTTATTTTATTTTAATAAATTGGATTATGTTGGATGGGATGACTTTTATTTTATTTTATTTTTATTTTTTTTATTTTTTTTTGATAAATTGGATTATGTTGGATGGGATGACTTTTATTTTTTTGGATAAATTGGATTATGTTGAGTGGAAACATTTTTTGTTTATGTCTGAGATCTCTAACTGTGGATTGCAGACGTCTGGCATCTTGAGACGCTGTTGAGATGCCTGTTATTACACACACACACACACACACACACACACATCTCATGTGTGCAGATCTCCGTCTCCGCTGCAGGCCTGTTCTGTCTGACCTGGGCTGTTATAGGAAATTAATTTTATAACTAATTTGTCCAGGAAATTTCTCCGTTGTGAACTTCTAAAACAAACCTCGCCTTTCCTGCTTTTAATGACATGATCTGTGTTTCAGCGTCTGAAGGCCGAAGGAGAAATGTGTGTGTTCTGCGGTCTGAGTTTAACTCTAGCTTTAGCAGCGCTCACAGTTTGTGTAAGTGTGCTTCATAACTACACACTTCACACACACACACACACACACACACACGTTTTAATAGTGTCGTGTCTCGACTGAACTCCGTGTCTCTTCGCTTGCCCTCCAGAGAGCCCAGCACACACTCTTCCCCCGCGCCTCACAGGACAGGCCAGGTGCAGACGCTTCCTCTGAGCTTTCATTATTCATCTCCACATTAATATCTCACAGAAGTCCCGCAGTGTGATCTGATCTCACGCCTGTGTTCGTGTCCCTGCAGGAGTTCTGTGTCTGAATGGTGGGACGTCCTTCTCTCTGTCGGGACGGCACTTAATCTGTCTCTGTCCTGACGGCTTCAGCGGCTCCAGCTGTGAGACAGGTGTGTGTGTGTGTGTATTATCAGGTGTTTGCATCTGGTAATGTGGGTCCTCTCTGTTAAGTTCTCCAGATAATGATGTTTTCTGGTAGATGGGTCGATGTCCTGCTCTGACGGGGCCGGTCTCCACAGAGGTCCCGTGTCTAACTCAGCGAGTGGGCGGGAATGTCTGGAACTGGGTCGACACAAACACTGCAGGCGAGTTGAGCTAAAACAGATCCGTTACTGTGACCTGGCAACTATAATCAACACTATATCAACATGCCTTTGTCCTGAAGACTGGAATATTAATAGAACAAGAAAACAAGTTTATGGGGCTCAATTCATAAGCAAATCTCACAAAACATGCCAAGAACCGACACGTCCTGGGCAAAATTCACCCCAAAATTAGAAGAAATAATTGACATATTAAATGTAATTAAATTTAACCCATTTTTTAAAAAAAGATAGTTGTTTTAAATACCTTTTAACTTAATAATAATATAATAATAATAATGGTTAATTTAATCATTATTTTAAGTGTATTTAAAGGAGAACTCCGGCGCAAAATGAACCTTTGGTCTAATTACACATTGTTACCTAGTCAACCGTTATCTGAGATTTGTTTTCATGATTATCGAATGTAAATAGTTTTATCTCTAAAAACAGTTTAGCCTATAAAGCTAGTATAACGCTAGTATATTGGGCATAGTGTAATGACAAATAAAAATCGCTTGTTAATACCACTAACAAGGCTGAAAATAGCCCCACACTAACACGGTAGCATAATGAGGGTCCCTACCTTCAAACCGAAGCATTGAGAACTTTGTAAGTGTACAGACAGTTTAATAAGAAGATATTGTCTGTACACTGACAAAGTTCTCAATGCTTCGGTTTGAAGGTAGGGACCCTCATTATGCTACCGTGTTAGTGTGGGGCTATTTTGAGCCTTGTTAGTGGTATTAACAAGCGATTTTTATTTGTCATTGATCTATGCCCAATATACTAGCGTTATACTAGCTTTATAGGCTAAACTGTTTTTAGAGATAAAACTATTTACATTCGATAATCATGAAAACAAATCTCAGATAACGGTTGACTAGGTAACAATGTGTAATTAGACCAAAGGTTCATTTTGCGCCGGAGTTCTCCTTTAATTTGATAAAGTTTTGAATGTAGAAAATTAAGCCTTTTTGCATTTTGACATTATATTATTATTATGTTTGACATGGTTTGTTTGACATTTAACACAATGAAACACATTCGCCCCATTATTAATCATTTATATTTTACTGTTTTAAAGTAAACCAATTTGTATACAATGAAAATTGTATTTTATTTTATTTTAATTTTTATTTATTGTATTTTTCAAATAAGTTTTGCATAAAAAAATTAAGCTTTTTCGCCAAATAATATTGTTTTGCCTTTTGACATTATTAAACACAATGAAACACATGTAACCCATTAACATTTATTTATTTATTTACTTTTTTAAAGTAAATCAATACTGTTATACAATTAATATATATAATATATATATAAATATATATATTTAATTGATAAAGATTTTTGTATTGTGATATTATTTTCATGATAATTAAACACATTTGCCACATTAACATATAGTCAAAATTAAAAAAGTACTTTTATACAATTATTTTTATTCAAATCAACAGTACAACAAATATCAGCATGATGTATAAATATATATTTTTTACATTACATTACAGTACAGTGAGAATTTGTTCACAGTGCAAAGTTTTTACTTTTCATTTTGGGATGAAATATGACCCGCACATGTTCTTGATCATATTTGTAATATTCCCCTTTATTCTCAAGTCCAGACATGAAGATCTTCTGCAGAAATATTCACAAACACACCTTCTTACACACACACACACACACACACACACACACACACACACACACACACACACACACACACACACACACACACACACACACACACACACACACACACACACACACACACACACACACACACACACACACACACACACACACACACACACACACACACCTGCCTGAGCCTGTGCAGCTCATACATTCAAGTGTTGTTTGGAATATTCCTGCTCATGTAAATGTGGTTATTGTGTTCATTTCTCTTCATCATGTCAGTTTCATCCATCATAACTTACTGTACATGTTCCAACACCAACAGCAACCCAGACTTCAGCCGCAGGCCGTGGTGTTTCGTGGAGAAGGAGTCTAGGATCATCCGAGAGGACTGTGATATTCCCCGATGCACAGAAGATCTCAGTACTGATTCTGTCCTTTACACTCTATTAATCTATCAGAGATGGGCATAAATGCATGAAAATCTATTTAAAAACAGAATATGAGTTCTCTTTTGCGACATATTGCACTTTTAATAACTCTTTTTAACATCAAGCACGTCCCACTATTTATTACCCATCCGTCGTCCGTGTTTCTTTATCGCTTTAATGTGGCAATAACTCCTGCTCACTAGAAGCTGCACTAATTTGCATGAGCGATATATAAATAATATAGAAAGACTTAAATCAATTCCATGATATATATCGTCATATCACCCAGTCCTAGCAAGCAGTAATGCCTAAACACACTTGACAAGCTAGTTGATAAAACCAACAACCATTTGTGAAAATCCATCTTTTAATGTTGTTTATGTGTCTATGTGGTGTTTTTAATACGCTTTAAGACAAACCATGTGTAAGTTCATAAGTCGACAGCATTGCTGAGTATTTTCTGCTTAAAACTGCAGTGAACCAAAGACAGTCTCAAAAACACGGTTTGAAATCGCTGGTGTTTCTGACGTCACAAACGACCTTGTAACCAATCAGATCAGCGTGTGATCGTCCACTGAGCTGAGTGAGTGAGTGGAGGCGGGGCTCATTTGCATATTCATAGAACCGCGCATACTAAATGAGGCGAGGGTGTCGAGTTACATTCAAGCTGTTTTATTTTATTACAGGGAGACTTTAACTAAGAAGACTGACAGACTAAAGCTATTTTTTCCCTTGCTCCTTTTTTCAAAGGTTCAAAATACAAAATAGCATGTGAATAATATCTGAAATACTGCCCGTCCCAGCTCAGTATCTGTATTAAAGGAGAACTCCGGTCAATTTTAACATTGAGCTCATTTTTTTGTATATTTGGAGTGCTGTCAGTACAGACAAAAACGACAAAAATCGGTGTTGCCTACACCGTGTTATCCTCTTTTTAAAATTCGCACCCTGTTGACTTCAATGGGGCAAGTTCTAAACCTGCTTTTAGCCTCTTAACAACTTTAATATGTCATTACAAGTGCACAGCCATGTGAGTGGTGTCATTAAGAGTGACCACGGTCAATCTGACTGCAGTAGATGTGCAAGATATTAATAAAAATGATGTTAATTCAGCCAGCTCACATACCTGTATTTACTTCCTGTTTTTGTTCGAAGTCCACAGTAGTCAATTGTCGAGTTCGCGGGTTTCCCAAAAGCATCGTTGGCCAACCATGATCGCAATTTCCATTGAACTCTATTGGTAACGACGGAACTTGCGACCATAGTTGGCTTTGGGAAACGCACCCCAGATCAGCGTGTGATCGTCAACGAGTGGATCTCTGAGCTGAGTGAGTGAGTGGAGGCGGGGCTCATTTGCATATTCATAGAACCGCGTATACTAAATGAGGCGAGGGTGTCGAGTTACATTCAAGCTGTTTTAAGGCATGAAGAGTTCTTTGTTCAAGGAAAAAATGTTTAAATGTGTCATTTTGGTGACCAAAGATGAGTCAAATGATTGACTACTGGGGACTTTAACTATCAAGAAGACTGTGAATAATAATTTCTGAAATACTGCCCGTCCCTGCTCAGTATCTGTATTAATGTTGCACAGTATGACAGGCATATTGAACAGTTTGGTGCATCTGATCTCTGCAGGTTCTGGTAGTACTGAAGACAGTCTGACAGATGCTCAGTCAGGTGAGAATGAGATCGCTGTGTGGATGTGTAGTACACTGTAAAACAATTATTGTTGGTTTAACTTAAAAAAGTAAGTAACCTGGTTGCCTTAAAATGTTAAGTTCATTGAAATTAAAAAATTTAGTTAATACAATCAGGAGATTGGTTTAATCAACAGAAACTCAAAATATTATGTTATCTGAACCACATAAATTATCTAAGTTGATTTGACAAAAGAAAAAATTACAGCGTCCATTGTAAAAAATTATAAGTTATGACAACATATACTTTTACATTGATTCAAAATAAGTTAATAAATTTTCAACTTTTTTTGTTATACAAGATTCAACCTATTTTTTTAAGTCAGTTCAATGTAATGTAAGTTGAAATAACTTAAACATCCAAGTTGATTGTACTTGAAAATTTAAGGCAGCAAATTTTTTCAAGTGTATCTGTTTGAGCGTCTCT